TGGCAATTTCGTAATTAATCTGGAAAAATCTGGCAACCCAATTCTTAGTAAAATGACCATAAACTCCTCATACAGTGTCCAAATTTGACGATTCTTTTTGCTATGGCTCCGTAATTACGATACAAATCTAATGCTTCAATAAAAACAGAATTTGGAGCTTATTTTTTAATATGGTACTATTTATGCTTGAAGAAACGACGTCGAAACATAAAAAACGAGCGCAACACAACCCAAACCTATCTGAAACTCACCCGAGCCCCTCGGGACCCCGTCCGATCATACCAACAATTCCCTTAACATAACAAGGACCTGCTTGAGGCCTCAAATCACGCATAACACATCGAAACCACGAAACGCACCTTAAATCAAACTTAATGAACTTTCAAACTTTCGACTTCCAACAACTCATGCTGAAACATATCAAATCAACTCCGAATGAACTCAAATTTTGCACACAAGTCCTAGTACATCATACGGAGCTACTCGTGCCCCCAAACTACCGAGCGAAGTGCAAATTCTCAAAATGACCGATCGGGTCGTTACACATACATCTTTAAAATAACTTTCCTAAACTATAATATAACTTTAGTACAACTGTGATACAACAACAACAACAACAACCCAGTGAAATCCCACTAGTGGGGTCTAGGGAGGGTAGTGTATACGCAGTCCTTACCCCTACCCCGAAGGAATAGAGAGGCTGTTTCCGAAAGACCCTCGGCTCAAGAGGATAAAAAGACAAAAGGAGACAAAATCAGTAACACCACAGAAATAATAGGAAAAATAGGAAAAATAGGGAAAATAGGAACAACATGAAATCCAGAAGAAAGATACAAAGCAAAAGCGAAATATTATCCCTACCAAACTAATCCCACAAAGTTATAACTTAAGGCAAGACTCAACTACCTCCTAACCTACAACCTTAATATTCGACCTCCACATGTTCCTATCAAGTGCCATGTCCTCGGAAATCTGAAGCCTCGCCATATCCTGCCTGATTACCTCCCCCAATACTTCTTAGGCCGCCCTCTACCTCTTCTCGTGCCCTCCACAACCAGCCGTTCTCACCTCCTTACCGGAGCATCTGGACTTCTCCTCTGAACATGCCCGAACCATCTGAGTCTTGCTTCCCGCATCTTGTCATCAATGGGAGCCACGCACACCTTCTCCCGAATATCATCATTCCTAATCTTATCCATCCTAGTATGCCCGCTCATCCACCTCAACATCCTCATTTCTGCTACCTTTATCTTCTGGATATGTGACTTCTTAACATGCCAGCACTCAGCCCCATACATCATGGCTGGTCTAACCACCACTTTATAGAACTTACCTTTGAGTATCAGTGGCACTCTCTTGTCGTACAATACTCCAGTTGTTAACCTCCACTTCATCCATCCTACCCCAATGTGGTGTGTGACATCCTCGTCGATCTCCCCTCCCTGCTGGATAACCGACCCAAGGTACTTGAAGCTGCCTCTACTCGGGATGACCTGTGATTCAAGCCTCACATCCATGCCCATTTCCCCCTGCTCGGCGCTGAACTTACACTCCAGGTATTCCGTCTTCGTCCTGCTAAGCATAAAACCCTTAGATTCAAGAGCCTATCTCCAGACCTCCAGCCTCTCGTTAATACCGGCTCGCGACTCATCAATCAGAACTATGTCGTCGGCGAAGAGCATGCACCATGGCACATCCCCTTGAATGTGGTGTGTTAACGCATCCATCACCGGGGCGAATAAGAACGGACTGAGCGCAGAACCTTGGTGTAACCCCATGACAACCGAAAAATCCTCAGAGTCGCCTCCTACTGTCCTAACCCGAGTCTTTGCCCCATCATACATGTCCTTAATCGCCATAATGTAGGGAACCGACTTGCCTTTTTCCTCCAAGCTTCTCCAGAGAACTTCTCTAGGAACCTTGTCATACGCTTTCTCTAGGTCAATAAACACCATGTGCAGGTCTTTCTTCCTATCTCTGTACTGTTCAACCAACCTCCTAACAAGGTGTATAGCTTCTGTAGTAGGACGGCCCGGCATGAACCCAAACTAGTTGTCAAAAACGGACACCGTCATCCTCAACCTCGCTTCAACCACCCTCTCCCACACTTTCATAGTATGACTCAGTTATTTGATACCCCTATAATTGTTACAACTCTGGATATCACCCTTGTTCTTATACAATGGGACCACCGTACTCCACCTCCACTCATCTGGCATCCTCTTAGCCTTAAAAATAACATTCAACAACCTAGTCAACCACTCCAAACCTGCTTTCCCCACACACTTCCAAAATTCTACCGGAATCTTGTCAGGCCTGGTCGCTCTGCCCCTACTCATCTTACTCATAGCTCCCACGACCTCCTCAACCTTGATGCGCCTGCAGTACCTAGAGTCACTATGACTCTCGGAATTCTCCAATTCACCTAGCACAATATCTCAATCCCCTACTTCATTAAGAAGTTTTTGAAAGTAGGTCTTCCATCTCTTCTTAATCTGGGAATCTTCCATCAATACTCTACCGTCGTCGTCCTTGATGCATCTTACTTGGTCTAAATCTCGAGCTTTCCCCTCTCTCAGCTTGGCCAGCCGAAATAACTTCTTCTCCCCGCCTGTTTCCCCTAGTTCCTTATACATACGACCATAAGCCGCAGTCTTAGCCTCCCTGACCGCCAGCTTCGCTTCCTTCCTAGCTACCTTATACCTCTCCATGCACGCTCACCTCTCCTCCTCACATATGCTCCCCACTAACGTCCGGTACGCCTCCTTCTTGGCTTCCACTTTACCTTGTACCACTTCATTCCACCACCAGTCTCCTTTGTGCCTGCCAGAGACGCTCGTCGAGACCCCTAACACCTCTTTTGCAGCCTCCCTTATACAGTCTGTTGTAGTTGACCACATAGTGCTCGCGTCACCACTGCTCCTCCAAGCTCCCATAGCCGACAACCGCCCCTCCAACTCTTGGGCTTTATCCTTAGTTAAGGCTCCCCACCTAATTCTCGATCTTCCTCGAGCAGACATTTTCCTCCTCTTCACTATAATACCAACGTCCATCACCAAGATCCTATGTCGCATCACGAGTATCTCTCCTGGAATCACCTTGCAATCCTTGCACAACCCTCTGTCACGCCTCCTAAGGAGGAGATAGTCAATCTGAATCTTCGCCACTGCATTTTGAAAAGTAACCAAATGCTCCTCCCTCTTCGAAAAGCTAGAGTTTGCAATCACCAACCCAAAAGCCTTAGCGAAGTCCAGTAACGAGGTTCCTCCTCTATTCCTCTCCCCAAAACCGAAGCCTCCATGCACTTCATGACACCCACCTGCGGTCGACCCAATATGACCATTGAAATCCCCTCCTATGAATAACTTCTCAGCAGGTGGTACCTGACGCATAATCTCATCTAACCCCTCCCAAAAGCGTCATTTAACCTCCTCATCTAGGCCCGCATGAGGAGCATATGCGCTAACAACGTTTAGGGTGCACTATCCAACCACCAACTTAATAATCATCAATCTATCATTCACTCGTCTAACCTCAACCACAGACTCTCTAAGTTCCCTATCCACCAAAATGCCCACTCCATTCTTACCCTTCTGGGTACCTGAGTTCCAAAGTTTATACCCGTCTGCATCCCTCGCACTCGACCCTACCCACCTTGTCTCCTGGACACACGCTATATTGAGCCTCTTCTTCTGGAGGATCTTCGCCAACTCTATAGACTTACCTGTCAATGTACCTACGTTCCATGACCCAATTCTCAACCGATAAACACCCTTGTTCCCTTTACCTCCCTTGCCTCCCAACCCACCCCCAACCCCGGCCCGACCTCCCGACTCTCCCCCTGCTTCCCCCGAGGACATGAATTCACTCGACCATCCCAGACCACAACCACTATACTTCCGATGGACTAAGGGGAATCACTAACACACATAACAGACCAAACAAGAAGAAGACGAGTTGCCACTACAAGCACACTAATACAGTAAATAAACTAATAAGAACTAAGACGACAGCAATTTAACTAACACAATATAGGGAAACAGGAAAATGGGAGGTACCAACTCCCGTGAGTAGAACCTAGGAATTGTCTAGGTATACCCGACGGTATTGCGGCCACCTAGCTCGTTCACGTCCAACTCTTGTCATTCCTTGCTGACCCTTGGGATGTTCTTCACTGTTTGCATGTGCACGTCTCGCTCGCCGCCCAAAGTCAGTGGCCCTAACCTGAAATACACACAAAATACCACGGAGCCAAACAAATAGGGGGTTGTCACCGCTACCACTGGTGATGCCCAGCCGTTGCAACGAAACGCAAAGAAAAAAGAAGCGAATTTGAAGGTGCTAGTTAATGGACAAACAAATATTGCAAAATTAGTAAAATTGCTTCGTGTACGTGTATACACTTCTTATTGAAGTTGCTGCACTGAATAAGAAAATTGCTTCGTTTATGAGAGAGAAACCTAATGCCAAAACTAAAAGCACCAAAGAGATTAGATCTGAAAATGGACTGATTAGATATTAGAAACTCAATGTTCAAAATGAAGCAAAAATATTTGTGGGTCTGATCCTTACCTTTGCCGATGGGAAAGCAGAGAAGGAATTAAGTATTTGAGGGTTTCGCCAGTGACGTGAAAAATGAGCAGAAAAGGAAAGGGAAAGGGAAAGAAGAAAAATAGAGAGGGGAGAGAGGGGAGAGAGAGGAGAGAGAAGTGGAGTGACTTACCTATTGGAGCCGATGGTCGCCGGCGTTTGGCTAGGTCACCAGCGTGAGTGACCGTTGAAGACGGAGAAAATAATGCAACTACAATATAATACAACTTTTATAGAAATTTCGTACAATTGTATTACATCTTTAATACAATCCTGATACATAAATACAACTTTTTGTAAAAAAGAATATTTTTAATTTAAGTACAAATTTTATTACAATAATTTATATAATATACATCTTGTTTACAACTTTCATTCGATATTCATACAACAAAAATACAACTACAACAGAATACAACTAAATACATTTTCATACAAATTTCATACAACTTTTGTACATCTTCTTCCTTTTCGAATTTTAATCTGAAAATTCAGCTAAAATCAAATCTAATCTTCACCGAATATCCTCAAAATTGAGATATTAACTCCAAAGGATATTCTCAATCGTTTGCAACGACACCCAATTCAAATAAATAATAATTTTTAAAAATTCGAATTCAAAATCAAAGCTTCAAAATTTTTTTATTGTTGTCAATGTCTGAGGAGGCAGCGTACAAGGACTAGTTCGCCGGTGACAAGTGACAACGTCAAATACATTATTGAATTCTCTGAGGAGAAAAAGAAAAATGAGATGAGAAAAGAGAAGAGAAGCATAGAAGATCTAAAGATGAAAAAGATAGGGCAGGAGAGGGGGGGGGGGGGGTACGATGGGAGGGAGATTATTGTATGTATGGGATTCGATTACCAAATTAATGGCTACAATTAAAGGATACTCAATTAATAATAATTTGTATTGAAATATTAAATCGTATATGAGCTTATAATTAAGTTAAAACCTCAATAGAGAGGAATAAGTTTCAAAACTAGTATAGCTAAGTAAAAAGGGAAAACTATTCAAACTATCACTCCATAAATAATTTCAACCAAAACTATCCCAAAAAATAAAATATTTACTAGAAAAGGACCAAATGTAATTTTAATCCAATAATTTTCAATTAATGTCACTGTTTAAAGCATACAGTGAGCAAAAGTGAGTTTCAGATAATCGAGCACCTTAATTCAGTTTGTTGGATTGGGTCGACGGATTAAACTAAAAACGACATGGACAACTATTGAAGCTTGTTTAAGCTTGAATTCAAAATTTTGAATTCTCGAAATTGGAATTTATTTCGAATGGGTATTATTGAAACAGATTGGATACAACTTAAGGAGTGTAAATCTCAATTTTTGGACGATTTAATGGAGATTTTAGGTGGTTTGAATTGAAATTTGAGCGAAATTCAAAGTACACAAGATGAACATGGAAAATATGATATGTGTATCTCACTGTGTATCTTTTGTGTATCAAATACGTATCTCTTGATACAAACCACCTACACACACACACACACACACACACACACACACACACACACATATATATATATATATATATATATATATATATATATATATATATATATATATATATATATATATATAATTTGTATGTGAGATACATGTTCATATGTCGTAGAGAAATTTTTAAACTCGATTTCACCTATGAATTTTGACTCAAAATTAGTCCAAATCACCTCTAATTTTTTTTATAAATTTTGTATATTACTCATCTATATGTTTTCAATGAATTTCAACCATACCCATTGAAAAAGATCCTTTTTTGCTTCGGTTTTTAGAATCTTGTATATTTTTTTCCTTTATGTTTCATCTTTGCTACTTCATCCATGAATTAATTTTTCGTTTTGCATCTAATGCTGCTGATCACGCTTAAAAATGGAAGGAGATCTTTGCGTGTGATTTTTAGAGAGAAAGAATCCTTATTTATCTGGATTTTTTAATTTTTGTACGCGCTTGGTTAGTTTGATATGTATGTAATTATTTGCTAGAGGTTGGTATGTTTGGATTTATTTTGGTGGACATTTTCGTAAAGATACCTTAATAATCTCATTTGAGCAAACATCATTTATGACCAGCCGCTAGAAACTAATATCACCCGCTAGCCACAAAATTAAAGTATGCATTTTATAGCCCAAAACTAATTAAAAGGCTAGCCCAAGAATCCTCCCCATCTTCTCCATCCTTGGGTTTCGTATTTGTCTTGGGCCTTGTCGCCACAGCCGTATCCCTTCAATTCGGACCTGGCCCGGTCCCACCCTCATCCAACACAGCTCGGATCTCCTTCGCCCGGTGCAAATACTCGGTAAATTTCTGAGTAAACGCTTTCTTAATCTTAGGGTTTATCTCGTACTTTAAATGGGTGGGTTTTGAAGTGCTCCAAAGAGTTCGTGTAAAGAGGGAATGCTACTTAAGAATCAATTTTAAGAAATACAATCACCCGCACCAATCAATTTTTTTTTCACTAGAAAATATGGAAACCATACAAATATACCAAATAAAAGCAAATACTCACCGGTGAAGAACTGAGGGAACTTGACTGGCAAAATAACAGCTTCCTGCAAAGCTTGCTTAGCACTTTCCAACCCGGCAACATCATTCCACTTTATATTAGGTTTCTCCCTAACAATCGCGGAGGGTGAGCATTTCTTTTGAATATTGGTATTATTACAAAATATATCTATCTATCTATTTATCTATTCTATACTTACTATATTAAATTAAAAGCACGAAGGCCTTAGCGAATTTACATTGAAATGGAAGATGTTAACGTTTTATCTTAATTAGTGTTAGGATAAAAGATTCACTGTAAAAATAATTTGTTCGTTTCAATAAATTTATTAATAGCAATCAAAAATATTAAAAATGCATTTAAATAATTTAGAAAAGAAAAGACTTAGAACTTTATAAATATATACTCAATACACATACTACAAAAAAATATTAAAAAATAAATTTAGATTTTATAGCAAATCTCTGAAAGATTTTTATTTTAATATGATTTATAAAATATACTATTAAATTCAAATTTATATATGCACAACCTATCTGATTATGACAAAACACTAACTTTCAACACGTAATGCTTACGACTTTTTTTACCTTTCCTAAGTGAATTCGAGCTTAGAAAGCTCTACTATTAAATATTTTGTATATATCTTTTCCTTATTGGAAATATGTAACAACAATAATTTTGCAGAAGACGAGTGATATCAAAAAATAAAAAAATTCACAGAGAATAGGTAGAATATATCTATTACGTGTTTTGTGTTTGAATTATTCTTTGTCGTGGAACTGTAACAAATAATTCACTTATCTTAATAAAAAAATTAAAATAAAGAAAGACATAAGTACGAAAACATAACTAAAGTCGATATGTCGGTCGGCGCTTCTTCAATTTTCTTTTGATTCATAATTATAGATTTACAATTATTCCTAGAAGTAAAATCAATTATGTTATATAAGAATTAACTTAAGTAAAAAATTAGAGAAAGACTTTGTGAAAAGCTATATTTGATTCTTAGATTATATAATAGTATGTCCATTACTCTTAATTAAACACTTCTTCGATATACACAAAAAATACAAATAGATCAAATTACCTCAATATTCGTAATTATTATAAACTTTAACTCAACATTAAATCTAGAAATACACGCGAAATGGCACTTAATAATAACATGTAATGTTATGGATAGTTTAATAATATTTGATTAATTTATTACAGTGTCGGATGTTGATATAGGACACACACGCAAAGCGCGTACCCTAAAGCTAGTGTATCTATAAAAATGTAAAAATCACTCCAAATTAAAATAAACTAATATAAAACTAAATACTACGAGTGAAACTAATTTTTTTGTATTTTCAAATGTTATAATACTATAGATATAAACATACTAATTGACCTTAACCTAAAGATAAAAAAATATTTTTTTGTAATTTTTTTAAATTTTTTATTTTATTGTGATAAAAATAAAGTAAAAGAGTCAACACTATTTAGAATAGCGATGCTAAACCTAAATTAAATATTTACGCTAAAATGTGAAAAAACCTTGGGGAGGGTAAAAATTACATATCTACAGTGGTAAGCTTCTCCACCCAGCTTCCTTCTTCCCTCGATCGCCGGAAAAGTCTGGCGACTGTATATAGGGTTGCTACCGTCGCCGTGAATGATCACTTCCTGGTGATTCCATTCGAACTTTACTGCCTGATGCAGCATTGACGCTACGGCCCCAACAACATGGATCCATGGTCGTCCCAGCAGCAAGTTGTAAGACGCTGGTACATTTATTACCTGGAAATCGACCTCGAACCAGGTTGGTCCCATCTGCAGGCATAGACTAATCTCACGAATGGTGGACCTCTGAGAACCATCGAAAGATTTCACATTGATTGCTCCATCCTTTATCTCACGCAGCCCTTTACCCAACTTCTTGAGCGTTATCAGCGGACATATGTTAAGACTGGACCCTTCATCGATCAGGATTCTGGTGATGAAATGATCTTCGCATTGCACGGTGATGTGCAATGCTTTGTTGTGCCCCAGCCCTTTAGGTGGCAGCTTGTCCTCATGAAAGGTGATCTTATGATTTTCCAGCACTTGTACTATCCTCCAAAGGTTGTCCGGACCTGTCTCAATGAGGGGTGGCCGATTGGAAGCCTGCTTGCTTGATTCAGCTAGATGTTCAGGGGTATAGACTCAACCAGTTCTTGTCATACCTTGTGCCGTGATAGTTTCTTCAGTCTTGACCTTGCCCTTCCTTCTCGCCTCGGCTGTATAGTCCCAGGGTACAACATTTGTATAGAAGGGTGGCGTGGTTGACATTGCCACTGGGATCGGCGCGACTATCCTCACTTCGAATGGAACATGTGCCTTGGGTGGCAAGACTGCAACCTCAAGTGGTGCGGGTGCATTTGCTGGAGACACGAATTCAACCTCAATTGGTACAGGTGTCTTTGCGGGCGGCTCTGCTTCAAACTCAAGAGTATAGACATATTCACCTCAGCATCCTGAGACGATTGGATGTGGACTATGATTGGATTGAGAGTAATTGCCGGTTTCTTTGGGTCATCACCTTCTGCGATCAACGAGATTGATCACTCGGGATCCCAGTCATCTTCTACTTCAATCATGTGGATACCTCCACCCTTATGGTCTGGCAGAGGATTGTTGCGGACGTTTGGGGCGGGTTTCTTTGCCACAATGATCTTTGTTATCAATCAAAGACTGTATCTTGTCTTTCAAAGAGTGGCATTCATTGATGGTGTGCCCTTTCATGCCGGAGTGGTATGCACAGGACTTGTTTGGGTTAACCCTTTGAGAAGGATTCTCAGGGGTTACAGCAGGGATGGGGGTGACATAACCATCAGCTTTGATCTTCTCATACAGCTGGTTGATGGGTTCAGCGACAGCGGTATATTGTTTTGGAGGTCTACGATCAAAATTAGGTCGAGGTCTAGGGAAGTTTTGGCATGTAGGGGGTGATTGATAATGGGACGGTTGAGAATTATAAGTGTGGTAGACATGAGCGGGTTGGGAGTATTTGGGTGAAGTAGGTTGATATGTAGGAGGTGGAGATGATTGATAAGTTGATAGCGGAGCTTGGTACAAGGGTGAGAGTGCTTGGTAATTTGGGGTTGGCTGGTATGTGAGTCGAGGTGTTGGGTAAGTTTGGTATCTGAGGGGAGACTTGGTTCTTTGTGCAACCATCACGACCCCCACGTCCCTTTAATTGGACACACCACCGGATTGTAAAGCCTTATTCGTAGCTTGCAAGGCTTCAAAATTTATGACCATACCACTTTTAATACCCTCTTCAATCCTTTCACCTAATTTGATAATGTCGGAAAACTTGTGGTTCTCAACCATCATCAACCGTTCATAGTACGGCGGGTCCTAAGCCCGGACAAAGAACTTGTTCATTTGCTCCTCTTCTAAGGCGGGTCTGACCTTAGCAGCTTCGGACCTCCAGCGAGTAGCATACTCGCGAAATGTCTCTGTGGGCTTCTCCTTCAAATTTTGGATATAGAATACGCCTGGTGCGTTCTCTGTATTAAATCTGAATCTGTCCATAAAGTCAGATGCCATGCTCACCCAGCTTGACCATTTCTTAGGATCTTGGCTGATGTACCAAGACAATGCATCTCCTTTCAAACTCCTCATGAACAGCTTCATGCGTATCCTTTCATCCTTCCCTACTCCAACCAGCTTGTCGCAATAGGTCCTCAGATGGACTTGGATCACCCGTACCATCAAAAATTTCGAACTTAGGAGGTTTGTACCCCTCAGGTAGTTCGACATCAGGCTGTATGCAAAGGTCCTCGGTTTAGCACCTTGATCCCTTTGCTTCCCTCTATGCCCTGAATCCGGCTGGTCAGTTTCTTAAGTTCCTCGGCCAAGTTCCTAATAAGCAGATCCTTTTCATCAGACTCAGGTGTGTATGAGATAGGTTGGGTGGAGTGTGGCATGGTCTCCACGTAGATAGGATTGTTGTGGTGGCCTGGTGTATGGGCGCGGGGATGGTCGTTTGTGGAGTTCTGAGGTTCTAGGATAAGTAATGGAGTGTTGTTTGAGGTATGGCAGGTGTTACATTGGTTCTTTGGTGGAGTAGCGTGCTGGTGAGGTGCGGGATGATTCTGCTGTTTTGGGATATTTTGAGGAGGTGTAGGGTTTTGAGCGTTGGGGAAGTTGATGTCTGGGGCGTTGAGGGAAAATGACATGTTTGCCAGATTTCGAACCTGATCGAGCTCTTCCTGGAATTTCAACAGTTTCTGTTCAAGCTATAACACATTCTCATTAGGAACCCGAATACCCTGGCCATCAGTGGCCTCTACCCGTTCAGCTGTGTTCTCCTTCCTGATGTTGTTTAAATCTTCCGTTTTATTCTTGCCCTTGTTCTTGCCTTTAGAGGGACTAGGAGGAGGAGTGGGTGGAGGCCCCCCCAGATCTTGTGAAATAAGATGATGATGCCAGAGTGCACAACCTTTGGGGAGGGGAATAAAAAGAAAGAAAACAAAACAAAAACAAAAAGGTAATCAAGTCAGTGAGGATTATAAAAAGTATTGCAATATTTAAACACATAGTGCGGGAATGTAAAGCGTGTCCTAATTTGGGAACCTCTTTGTGCCCGAGGTAGGCCTAGCGACAAAATGGATTTGGAGAACTTAGAATGCTAAATGCCTCATTTTATTGATAAAAATAGACGAATCCCAAAATGACACTAAATAAGTAAGAAATAAAGGTCACTAATGGTCATTGGACTTATTACATTCATAAAGCGAAAAAAGCAAATTCCTATCTATTTGGTCCCAAAAGGACCTTCCCCAGACTCGACATCCTTGGCTCCTTCGAACAGCTTCCCAATTCGCGAAGTCCCAGCAACAGGTATGCTCTGGCTAGATGTCCACCTTCGCTCCCTTTAGCCTTTTGATAGTCTTCAACCCATTTGAGAAATTTAACCTCTAGTTCTACTATGCCTTGCTCCAAGTATCCTAGCCTTTTGTTGGTACTGATAGCCATGTCTTTCTGTCACGACCCAAACCCCGTTCGTGATGGCGCCCAACATACTGCTAGGCAAGCTCGACCATTTGCACAACCTTAACCAAATAACCTAGATGGATAAATGAATATTCACAAGT